GTCTGTGACGAAATTGTTCAGGCCAGTGGTAACTTGGTGACCGGCATTCGTAATACGGAAGAAGTGTACGTCGCTCGTTTTCTTTTCTTTTCTTTTTTTTCTTCTTAACTTAGATATAGCTATGCGCAGACTCGCTGATTTTCGCTTAGTGTGAAAGCTATCCTTGACGCCAATCGCAACTCTCTCATGCTACTGGATCTGAAGTTCAGCATTGGTACGCTGGGACTTGCAACAGGAACTTTATTCTCTGCCCTATATGGTATGAATCTTAAGAACTTCATTGAAGAGTCCGACTTCGGATTCGGAGGAGTCTCCGTCATATGCTTTGCGATCACCGCAGTCGTCTGCGTATATGGGCTAGCGAAGCTGCGCAAGCTTCAGCGTGTCCGAATGTGGGGTGAGGCCGGCGTAGGTGGTTCACCAATGGTTTCCCTTCCCACTCGAAACAGCGCACTTACGGCACACCGGTCCAACTGGCGAGCGGACTCCATTGAGCCGGTCTGGGGTAGTCTTCCAGGCGAAGGTCGCGCCGAGAGAATCAGACGTTTGAAAGACGGCGCTGCGGCGGCCGCTGCCAAATCTGCTGCCACCGAGCCTACTGCGCAGCGAGCAGCAGCTTTGAGAAATGCGAACAAGTCACAACCAAAGCAGTCCGGTGATTCCGCAAACCATGAAGCTGCTACTAACATCGGTGGTGACTCTGCGTAAAGCATATTTACCATTATCAATCTTGAATACCAGTTCGTCGTCTCCCTCGGGTCAGCCACGGTCATTCGATGCTGGTGATTTGCCATGATTTTTCACATAACTGACGTATCTATCGCATGGTTGGGTGTTGGGTGTGTGGTTTTCTTGCTTTTCGTTTGATATCATCTGGACACAAGTAACTTTGAAGGGTTTAATGTGTTAATGTGTCTAGAGTACCTCTTCTGTCACTGATAGACGATTTTTACCATTCTCGGCAATTCTCGGAGCAAGTATTTCATATTGTGTTCATAGATTTAGATCGTTGGGGCAAGCTCACCTCTATGTACATTAACATCACTCAATCTACAAACTATACACCTTAAATTATCCCTAACACACAAGCATAAACCTACCGTCATTAATCAAAACAGCACCGACGTCGATAAGAGCAGCGGAAGAAAGGAGAAAGAAATTGGTCAAGTGTGATATGTCCCGAGTATCATATGGAAACTAAGTTAATGTCCTCGCTGGTTGCCCGCTCCCTGTCCTTTATGGATGCCCTTAGCCCGCTCAACCCAGATCCTAGCAGCGCCTGACACGCCTCCATCCCGTGAGCATTCCCGTTGAACTGCTGCCATCGCTTTGTCAAGAGCTGATTCAATGACTGCATCACCATTGCAGTCAGAAGTAGACCGTTGTTGGTTCCGTGTACGCCATTCCTTGGTTACTCGTTTGCGGCCGCCTATTACACCCATGTTGCGGGTACTAGGGATCCGAAGAAGCGTCTTCTCGACATCGTATCCTATTTCCTCGGCGATAGTTATTGCCTTCATGGTGAGGGAGCCGTACATGGATTTGTTGAAGCCTACGTCTGTTTGGGCCTCTTGTTTCGCCTTGCGGAGAGCTTTCAAATCTCCCGTTGCGGATTGTTCAGAATCAACGCCTTCATGTTGTGACGAGTCATTCTTATCAGAATCAGACTTCGACACTTTGGGCGGAGGGTATCGATACCTCGCCCCCGAAAGTGCATGCGAGCAACAAGGGATTGCAATAAACGGCAAAGGCGACTCCGGACACGCAAGGGTAGCCATAAGGGGCGTCCAGACCGTCAACTCATCAGCATGATTCGAAATAATGAAGGTATCCTTCTCAAACAAGCCCGAATGCGTCTCGACGCCCAAATCAGGCACTCCGCCCGCCTCCACCATCGCGTCGGCAAAGGGCTTCGGGATATAGATTTCCTCCTTGAGTCGCGCCTGTACGAACTCGGGGAGGATCTTCCATGTCTTCCGGCGACGGGCGTCAAAGCCCCAGCCCCGGTAGCCTTCCATGAGGAGGACGTACACGAGCACGCCGTTCCCGCACGCAACGTCCACGAAGCCTGGGAAGTTCGGGTCGTACTTTTCGGGCTCGTCTTCGTTTCGCTCTTCGCCCGGAACGGCTCCGTACATGCTTCGCCATAACTCGATCAGGAAGGCTGTTATTGCTAGGTCTTCGAAGACGTGCTTTGTTGGTTCGGTGTCTTCGACCCAGTCTCTACAGAGGTCTTTTCCGTACTTGAATTTGAGGCGGGAGTATGTGTTTTGGACTAGGTGTTGTGGGATTACGTTGTCTTTGCTGGGGTTATGGCTGCCTCCTTCGGTGGTTTCGGAGGGCTGTGGGTTGCGGGCGAGTCGAATTTGAGTATTCAGTAGGGAATGCAGGGTCCGCTCTAGGCGGGTTGGAATTGCTTCTTCTGGGTACGGCAAGAAGTGCAGAGATAGTGTTCCGGAGCCCGATCCAGCTTCTGCAGACTCTGTAGCGTCATCGGTGAAGTCGTACAGGTAGGCCAAAGAACGAAGCAGGGGATGATAGAAAGGAATCTCCTCCTTCGACGCTACATGCGGCGTATAAACGGCCAGGAAGCGCCTTAGCCGGGATTGTTGAGTAGCACTCTCGCTACCGGGAGCTATATCCGCTTCATAGAAGTGACAGGTTTGCTCCAGCGGTCGATCTAGCTTCGGGTTTCTGGGGATCAGTCTCCTGACCACTGTTCTGGTCAAGTTGAACCCGGCGACTTCTTTCGCCCCGATGGGCTCTACACGGTCTTCAGCATCCGCGGTAGCTTCCACGCCGATGTTCGCCGTCTGCGCAAATGACAGTTCCTTCTGCTGCGGCGTACTCAAGACGCCCTGGCTGTCATAGAGAATATCTGCCCGGAACAGCTGTGTGGAGTTTATGTTGATGTTCCCCAGGAGAAATATGGTTAGATCTTTCATAACCTCTGGCATAAACGGGAGTCCGTCCTCTAACAAATCTTTGGATGTCACCCATTCTTCAGTGGGTGTGTTATGCAGAATAGACGATGGCTCGAGCGTCTCTGGTAAGGGTTTTCCAGAGAGCTTTGTCACATCTCTGACGGTTTTATTTCTATGATTTTTCATTGTGTGCTGATTTTGTGGTAGAACCAATGGACTTTTGGAAGACTAGAGGCGGCGACTTGTTGGTTTCCGCCTCACGGGCCACTCGTTTGAATGTAGCCTGAGTAATGGTTAGTATACCACAAGCGTAGGTGGTTATAGTCTTACTTTTTGGATCAACGTTCCTACAGAATATCTTATCACTATAGTCTTCCTCGGGTTATCATTGGCTAGAGGCATCTCACCTTCGCTTAGTGGTGGATTAGTCATGACGATGATGTAACTAAGTAACTTAAGTGGATTGAATATAAAGGACGTTTTCTTAACATCCTCCATACTTGAGAGACAGATATGGTGGCAGCACCTCATGCCCACAACCCTGCTGGGCTGAAGAGCAGTGGCTTAGTTATTAAGCAAGGAAATATGGTGAATAGGCGGTGTGACTATGAAAATGGGCGTGAAATAAGCTGTAGAAAAGCGGTGTGCCACCGAGATGTAAATTGGTATAGTTGTGAACAATATCATCAGATCATTTCCCCATCCATGCGATCGGATTTAAACTTAAGTTAGCAACCAAAGGCTATCCGATGTATATCTTACCTGCATCGGTTCTCGCGATCACTCTACTGGCCAATTCCAGTAAACTCCTATGACGAGATAGATGCACTGCATGCTAACTCAGAATCCCCAGAGCAGGCTCGCATTGATTGGTGCATGTCAAATGCACTTACCTAATGATTATACCTCCTGCATGAATTCGCTTTGCTGTTCAGCTGTCACCTTCAAGCTTGGTGGAGGAGGGCGTTCAGTGCCGTCAACTGTTAATGTCCTGATGCTTATGGTGACCCTAACATTCCTTGGATATGATACCGTCCTGGGCGACCAGATCTCTGGCACATTGAACCTCGCTAGAGTATTACGAATAGTGCTGGAAGGGAGGTGTCCTCCTTCCGATCTGCATGAGAGTGCGCTGCATGCAAAGTCCCACAATCGATGATCCTAGCAACCAAGCGCGCTCGTTTAGAACGGCTAGGCTCAAGGTGTGGTCCAGATTTCACCCGCCATTGGTGAATAGCATGTTGTGTCATGCAGATTCTATGCTCCTGGCACCCTTCGGCAGTCTAGGAATTGGTTGTTTCGGGGATTTAAATGAGGATGCTAGTTTCCATCCAGCTAGGATGTGCGAACAGTGTCTTACCGCCAGAGTCAAGACCTCCAGGGTATCGTAGTAGATCTATTTACTACGGGATTGACTTTCTTGATGAGGGGCGCTTCCTGCGATTGGGTCAACCATTATTGGCTGCAGCTTGCAGCTTGCAGTTTCTCGTTGACTCAATGGCTGGGATGAGGTATGTGCTGTGGGAGCTTCCACCCGGCAGTAAGGTAGAATGTATTTAGGTAGAGGGAGGCCTATCCTGGGTGCTGTCGTTCATCTATTTTCTCACTGCAAATGAGCCTACAGCTGATGCCGGACTTGTTGTATTGACCTTGAATCTCTGCTACCATCAACAAGAAGCCGAAGACATTTCACCATGGGAGATAATGGCCCGATCCTTGAGCCTTGGATGCCTCCCCAGGCACCACAGGCATTTCCTCCTGGTAAAGGCAACATATATCCCTTCGGGGGACCGCATGCTAGTTATCCCATTACCCGTTTTAATAAAGCATATACTGACCCTAATCAGGCCGTTAGCGTATCTCTACCAACATGGGACTCAGTTCTTGGATTGTCTCGAAAAGAGAAATGGCTCTTGGACCAACTTGAATGGAGCTATCCACGGTCAGTCCCATTTCCTCACTCTGATAGGAGCGCTATCAACTGAGGAATCAAGTTTCTATCTTAATAAGCCCATTCGCGACCTCTCTGATGCAGTTCTCCGCCGACTCCGGATCAACGATACCACAATCTCCTGCATGGTATTCTCGTCTGGTGCTGCTGGCCACCAATGCGCCACAATACTCAAGACATTACCCTCCGAGAATCCGTTTACAGTCGAAGTAGTTCGGTTTGTCATGCCTCTGGAGTCAAATCTGGGAGACACCAGTGCCCACTGGGCCAACTTCACTGCGATCTTATACCCATCTGATCTGTTGAAGGCGGCCATGGCGTTCTGGCGGGATACCGGCTCAGGATTGTCAACTCGTCATGCAGAGTTCTGTTTGGAAGAGTTCGACTATCTTGATTCTGACTCTGCAACTCCGGCATACCGAACCCCAGCTTCACGGAAGAGATGTCGGAGCGAGGCCCCGGTATCTCTTACATGGATGCGAGCCGCGGCTGGAAACTCGCACGAGGTGAAATCATTCCTTGCAAGCATTGCCACGTCTGAGCAACCGGGACAGCCAACTGTGAGCCCAGACGATGTGTTTCTGTATCCTACCGGAATGAACGCTATATACACGCTTTCGGATGCTCTAGCTTCGCCAGAATACAAGGTTGCTATGTACGGGTAAGTATCCCTCATAGACTTTGACGCGAAGCCATCCCAAACAATTTTGACGAGACACTTTATAGGTGGTTGTACCCAGAAACAGTCGACGTCGTCCGACGCGGTACATGGGCAGAATGCCTCTCCTACAAATACGGCACAGAGGACGAGTTGGATCGCTTGGAGGCCCTCCTGCAATCCGGCCAACAGATTGGGGCATTGTTCTGTGAACTGCCCAGCAACATCACGTTGGCATCGCCCAATCTCCGTCGAATTCGCGCACTGGCAGATCAATACGGCTTCGTTGTCGCCTGTGACGACACCGTTGCCGGCTATGTCAACATCGATGCGCTTCCTTATGTAGACGTCATGATGTCCAGTCTTACGAAGACATTCAGCGGGGCATCAAACGTCACCGGTGGAGGGTAAGTCCAGCTCATATACCTAGACCATCAAACCATTACCTTAACTACTAATTAACCATCTTACCGCAGTCTTGTAATAAACCCCACCTCCCGGCATCACGACCAAATCCACGCTGCCCTATCCAAGAACCAAGACACCTATTTCCCTCTTGACTTGGACACACTCAAACAGAACAGCAAAAACATTGTCTGGCGTGTGAAGCAATGCAACCAGAACACGCTTCCACTCGTCGAGCTCTTCAAAGCCCACCCCGCCATCGCCGAAGTAAACCACCCGTCCATCGCGCCAACGTCAGCCCTGTACAAGAGTGTGATGCGCCAGGACGGCGGCTACGGCAACATTCTGAGCATTGTCTTCCATGATCCGCGCACAGCAGAGCACTTCTATAACGTCTTCAACGTCTGCAAGGGGTCCAGCTTCGGGACGAACTTCACATTGGCTATTCCGTATGTCCAGCTAGCCAATTACTGGAATCAAGATAAGGTTGCGAAGCACGGGGTGCCGAGGCATATTATACGGATTAGCGTTGGGCTTGAGGATTCGAGGCAGATCGTGGAGACGGCGAAGAAGGCGCTTAAGAGTGTGGATGAGTTTGAGGTGAAGAAGGGTCTTGATTGATCAGATGTAGATTTTCTATTATGATAGCTATGGCAATCAATTGCTCATATCCCATTACCATCATCAAATCTATGAATGCATTCATTCTCAAACCCCAGACCTTACAGTCTACATTCAAATAACTCTGAAGAAAGATCTTATACCAAGCACCAATGAGTGTATCTCCCCTCATGAGAAGTACAGTACACAGCTACTCACATCATCTCACACGCATCTATCTCTCCACATAAATAAATAATAGAAATATAAATATAAAAACCATATATGAATTTCTCAAGTATAAATCAATCCCCTACAAACCAACCCCAAGAAAAACCAGCACAACAAACTGAAAATGATATACAAATGCTTACCCAAACAACACCCAAGCCAAAAGTGCCCCACCCAGTTACTAGTAACCCCCATCCATGACGCAATAACCCCCCACCAAGCCCTACCCTCCAACAACCCCAATCCAACATAATAACATCCCCTACCCTACACCTCAGAACCCTAGATTCAATTTAATACTACTATACATACAGTACATCCCCTACCCACCCCAAGGTCCAAAAGAGAAGGAAAAATGGCCCCAAGATGCTTCATAATCCGACACGGCGAAACCGAATGGTCCCTCAATGGGCGACACACAGGCCTCACGGATCTTGCCCTCACACCTAATGGTGAGAAACGAGTCAAAGCAACTGGGAAAGCACTGGTTGGTAATGATCGGTTGATTGCGCCAAGGAAATTGGTTCATGTGTATGCTTTTCTTCTTTCCCTTTGCTTTGCTTCTCTTGTTTCTCTTGTTTTATTGGGTTAATTGATTATTGGGGTTGAGTTAATGTGATTGATAAAATCAGGTATGTCTCGCCGCGGGCGCGGGCGCAGCGGACGTTGGAGTTACTTGAGATTGGGTGTAGGGAGAGATTACCGTGGAATGAGGCCCGGAAGAGTGAGGATGAGGAGCCGATTCGGACGGAGGCCAAGGTTGAGATTACGGAGGCAGTGAGGGAGTGGGATTATGGGGATTATGAGGGGTTGACGAGTAAACAAATTAGGGAGATGAGGAAGGAGAATGGGGAAGAGCCTTGGGATATTTGGAGGGATGGCTGTCCTGGTGGAGAGTAAGATTTACTCTTCTTTTCTATTTCCCCCCTCCCCTCCCCTCTTCCTTTTTATTTCTCTTGTGTTTTGGAATGCAAAAAGAGGATTGATCGCTGTTGCATGTATGCATATATATACATTATTTGCTAACTGAAAATGTCACACTCAGATCCCCTGAAGACGTCGTCCGTCGTCTCGATGCCCTAATCGCCGATATCAGGAAGAAGTTCCACAGTCCTTGTTTCGACGGTGACAGTGAGCAAGGAGACGTCCTGATTGTCGCACACGGTCATATCCTACGGGCTTTCGCCATGCGCTGGACCGGAAAGCCGTTAACCGAGACCGCGCTGATTCTGGAAGCTGGAGGTGTGGGCACATTGAGGTGAGAAGAGAGAAAACCCCCCCAACATCGTGGTGCGACGAGCTGCGCTAACCGTCCCAGTTACGAACATCATAACATTGAGGAACCGGCGATTATCCTCGGAGGCGGTTTTGTGGTCGAGAACTAATGGGCGTGGTATCTATCGGTGTTACTGTGGATTGGATACCCCCCCCGAGGATAACCTATCCAAGCCATCAATCAGTAATTAGAATAGAGGCGTAAATCGGACGGATAGATAGACAGGTTGATTTAAATGACATTCAATAAAGAGAAAGAAAGATAAACTTACCCATGCATTCCACTAAACCAAAGTACTCATCGATCACGATTCACTTTCCTTCTTATCCGCATTACCCTTGACACCCTCCTCTCCCAACACCTTGGCCGATCCCATAAACAGAGCTCCAACATAACCGCCCAGGAACCGCATATCCTCTGCCTGCACAGAAGTCATACGGAGCAGGTTTTGTGTGTCCGCCAGATTGGCGTTCAGCTGCTCCAACTGAGCCTGCAGGTTCGCATACTGCCGAGTCTTAGCGGCGGACATCGATGAAGGACCGGCGGTGGTCGAAGACGGGGGGAGAATGGAATGGCGGGGGAAGGTTTGGGATTGGCTATAGTGGTGAGAAGGTGGCATTTTGCTCAAGATCTTAGTTCGTCTGCTGAATTCTTGTACGTGCTCGTTTATTATATCCGTGCGCAAAGCCTATGCCTTTTCTTGGTTTAACTTGAAAAGTGAAACGATGTGAAAGGAAATGGGTCAAGTTTGTTTACATTTGGTGGGGCGTCGCTTCAGGGATCAAATCACATCAGTCACGTGAGGGACCAGAAACAGAACTCCCCCAATCATGAACTGAACAATTAATCTTGGTTGTGCATAAACAACACCATACAATCGACTATACATTAGACAGTCTTTTTTGTCTTTGTTATGCAAACGTTTGAATCATTCAAAACACTCTCATCATGACATGGCAGGATCACCATCTATGTTATCATGCGAACTTCAAGTCTCGTCTATTGTCAATGACATGGTCCTAATCGAGTGATAGCGTCCGTGTCGAGACTTCAGCTCGGCTCTCTCGTCAATATCTTGCAAGAACACGAACCCAGCCAATTCGGATCACTCAATCAACTGAATAAATCAGACTCCTGCTCTTTTTGTGCGCCAGAAACCAGACCATGAACGTAGAGATTTCGGGGCTGCTAGGATACTCCACACCAGAGCCCATAATAAAAGCAGACAGAATGGCTGAGGAAAAGGGAATAGAGGAAAACGAAGTAAGGAAAAAGGAAATGTGTCAAAGGAGGGCATGCATGTCACAAAACAGTGGAGATGATAGTATAGGAGATACAACGAAATGAGGCGCCCACTAATGGTAGTGTACAACATTCTTTCATGCACGGAAAAAAAAAAAAGGAAATGAGTTAGTCGTGGGTGACTGGAGATGGATGTTTGTGGTATAATTGCGAGAAGTCAAATCATACTTGTCGGATCGAGCTGTGTACTCGCCTTCATTAAAATAGAGAGTGCTCAAAGAAAAGGTAAGGAAAGTGAAGGGAAAGCAAATGACCACATGCAACACGCGCCCGACCACTCCAAAGTAGTAGCATAAAACGAGAAGATGTCCCGTATGTCCCTCGGTGTATATGTAATGAACTGAACGAGAATATAAGGTCTTGAGTCCGCTCCTACCGCCCTTGCCAAGCATCTTAAAAAAGAGTCTTGTACAAGCCAAAGGGGACCCCCACGGGCTGCGTCTTCCAGCCAGGGGAGGAAAAGAATGGAACGCGAAGTAACCAGATGAGTACGTATAGAACAGGGTTCTAAAGCTCAGCTTTTCTGAAAGGTGGGGTGGGGGGGGGGAACCGGAGGACGACGGGCTGCGTCGATCAACGAACGGGCGTCGCAGCTTGTTGACCATTCAAGCTGATTTGGCTGCTATGGGCTGAGGTTTCGGAATCAAGGTTCGCACTGGCCCCACTATCACCACTCTCCGCGCTGGCGCTCGCACTTCCGGTCAGACTTCTATGCTTGGGAGTGCCCTTGGCTAAAGACGAGTTGCTCACCCCATATTGTTGCTCAATTTGCTGCGGACCTACCGCATTACCTTGTCCAGGCGGATGTCTGGGGACTGGCGCCCGCATTTGCCCGGGCGGCGACGGTTGGCCGCCACGAGGGCCGTTCGGTGGGCCTAGGCTTGGATCTTGGGATGTTCCTTGTCGGCCCATTCGAGGGCCAGGCGGACCGTAGGGAGGAGTCGCCGGAGACTGGCTGTTCCTCCTACTGGTTGGGTAAGGATGTGGTGGGTAGTCACCCATTCGGCTGGCCGTCAGTGAATTAGCACGCGACCCCGCCTGAATGTGGTTTCTGTCGACCGCTCCATATCGATTCGATGCGTACGCCATCATAGGATTGTCCATGAGAGAATCATGAAGGCCAGGGATTTCCTGCATGATCCGATCACTGGTACGTTTCCTTCCTCCGAAGTATCGGCTAAAGGACGACCCGGGCCTGCTAGCACCACCGCCGCCGCCGCCATTATTTAAAGTGATTTCCGGGTTCTTACGGAGCTGACTGGCGCTGGGCGCTGATTTCTTCGCCCGTCTCGAGGTGATACTCAACATGTCCACTTGGTCCGGATCGATTGATGGGATCGGCAAAGTATCCATTGGATCGAAATAGTCATCCTCGTCCTCTTCATCAAATGTCGATCTCGGGGGGGGAGGTGGTCGCCGGGGACCTCGACGCATACCCATCTCCTGTTCTCTGATCTGCAACTCACGCTGCCGGATCGCCAGTTCTCGTTCTCTCAAAGCCAACTCAGCTGCGGAAGATGGAGGCCCGGGCGGCATATCCGGATAGCCGTTAGTGCCGTTCTGAGGCGGTACGCCATTCTCTGCAGCCACAGCTGCGGCTGTGGCAGCATCATCGTACATGACGAGGTGGCTGAACTCCTCAAGACCTTCCAATGAAGGGTCACGAGGAGGCATTCTGGCCATTTGCGGCTGTGCGCTCGGGGGTCTTGACATTCCTGGGTGGGGTGGTGGCCCACGTCTAGGCATCATTCCAGAAGGAGCCCTGCCTCCACGCATAGGGCCATTCATCGGTCCTCTCGGCGGTGCCGAAGACATCCGAGGTGGCGGTTGAGCCAGCACAGGTGGAGGAGATTCGTTGGTCCGGGGCTTACTCAAGTTTGTGGCATTGACATGATGAAGCACTGCGTAGAGAGTCTCAATCCGAGGGATACGGACGCCTGATTCGGTCGCCAATTTGATTGGAGATCCGAGATATGTCTCAATTTCCATTGGACGGCGGGCTTGGAAGTCCTGATACATCGTACTTGGTGCACCATTGGCGGTCATCGTTTCAATCGTCTTCTTAGCAAAGTCATTCGGAAAAGAGCATCCGTTCGCACGCGCAAGCTCGAGGAGCTCCTCAATGATGTCTGAAACAAGTTGGCGTACGCCGACCTTCTCAAGAAGTTGTGTGTGGTTGGAGGTTTCAAACATTACACTAGTGGGGTAGAAAGCAATAGGACTGTAGCACCATGGTTAGCCAGACTCGGTCTTGGAGAGCAGACTTCTCTCGCGACTCACCCTATCATACGATCGAATTGCTCCTGTCTGATATTATCTGATACTTTGCAGTCGACTTGGCCAGAAGCCAGTGTCATCGCCAGTGCAGCCGCCATATCATTCTGAATCGTAGAAGGAATGCTGGTTTGCTTGCTTGTGGCACCAACCCAAATCTCCGATGAGTTTAGATGCTCGAACTCGCTGGCACCAATCTGAGAAATCTCCACCCCGGACACAAGCGAAAGGACGACGTTTGTAGGAAACCGCTGCTCTAGGTGTGATTCTACTCCCAATGTGTTCGTTGTGTTCACGAGGATACACGTATGTTGAGGGGTGACGACGGATTCGATGACTGAAGCCAGGTCGTAGACATCTGGCAGTGCCTTGACACACAGAATGACGTAGTCAAATGCGTTCTCGCGAGATGCGGCATCTTCGGGTGTGCGGACAACTGTACAGAAGAACTCATATTTAACGTCCGAACAAAGAACACAGACCGTACGTTGCAAAGACCAACAATCCGACTCACCATGACGAGGTTTGAAGCGCTCATTGCCGAAAGCTTTCGACCTAAATCAACCATTTATCAACGAATTCGCCCCAAAAACCGTAGATTTAAGAGTGACATACTTGAAGGATACTCCATATTGAGATACCGACTCATAGCCCGATTTCCACACTAGTGTCACGTCGCAGGAGGTCGTCGCCTGAAGTCTCCACGAGAGGAAGGCCGAGATAGCATTGCTGCCGACTAAACAAAGTCTAGTTAGATGACGGCCCATTCTGGGTACTCCGAAAGGTGATCTGGGTTGCAACAAAAGCCCATTTAAGGAACGACAGGAAATTTGTCGTCAAAAAGTAAATAGGAACAGTCTTGCCGGGGCAGTGCGAGTACGAACCTGATAAAATGCGCAAGCGCGGCGGAGGAGCCATAATTAGCGATCAAAAATGGAAGGAAGCTCTCCCACTAGTCCACGATCGAGAGAAAAAAAAAAGGCGATGGACAGAGTGTAGCAGGGAGACGAAACTCCAGGACAACGACTGGAGGCGCGATTGACGCTGCCTACCACGGGATGAAAGAACGCAATATCACGACCGAAGCCAGGGCGATTTCGTGACGATTAAAACAACGGATTATGAAAAGGACCAAAGAAAACGAAAGTAAGGGGAATCACCAAAGGACGATTAAAAATGGGTAAAGGGATTGAGGAAAGGGACCAAACGAAAGGAGGAATTAATCGTAGGGAGAGAAGGAGAGAGAAAAACAAGACAGTATAGTGAAAGGGGATGAGGGAAGGGAAAAGGGAAAAGAGGAAGACGCGAGAGATGACGGATGGAGAATAGTAGGAGTATAGTAGTAAGTAAATCGATGAAGAGAGTTGCTGGAAAGCAGATGTGCCAGCTTTGGGCGGAAAGACAGCCCGAAAGTAAGGCTATGGAGCAGAATCTGTAAAGTTATCTCTTTTTTTTTTTTTTTCCCTTACTCTCTTTTCGTATTTTCTTCTTTTTTTTTTTTTTTTTTTTTTTTTTTTTTTTTTTTTTACAATGACCAGGCTTAAACGGTCGTGGATCCCCCGCCAGGGCTCGAACCGGAAACGGAGTGCAGGGGAGACGAAATGACTGTCAACGGAGAGGGGGAGAATAGCGAAAACAGTTTCCTTACTATGAAGGGTAAAAAAATAAAAGGAAAAATAAAAAATAAAAAATCAGATCTGAGGAATGAATGATAAGGAAAGTAAAAAATAAAAATAAAAATAAAAAGAATAATAATAAAACAATTAAACTAAAAAATGTCGAATCCCATACACTCACACCGAAGTCAATTCTTCTGTTAATTCCGTTAGTATCGGAATTGGGAAAGATAAGTTCAAAAAAGAAAAAGAAAAGAAAAGAAAAAAAAAATTCATACTTTCACCATTTCTCTTCATTTATTTTTAATCTTATTTAGGAGGCGAAACGGGGACGGATGTTTTCTGAGGACCATGGCTACTCCCAACAATTGTATGGCAACTCCCCCTGTTCTTTTTCTGGGTTCCAGTTCCTCTTAATCCTTACCTAATTAAACACAACTCTCACTATAAACAACTATATTATTATGTACATAATAATAGAAATCAATCAATAAAGGTCCTCTAATTTTCGTTTCGATTTATATATATATATATATATTTCCTTTCGATTTCCTTCTGCTTAAATCTATACCCACAATTTCAATATTACTTTAGTCCTAGACAGAGATACGTAGATACAAGTAGTACACCTCACTAGACCTTCCGGAGGACGGAGCGACATCATCACCAGCGTCATCACCTTAATCAAGACTGAAATGAAAAATAGAAAAACAGAAAAATTATTAGAGTGGGTGATTCATGAGACACGACAACACCAACTCAAGCCAACCATGGTGCAGTAATCACCCAATCGACCGCAGCTGCACATCCTCCCGTCGAGGATCCCCACTCCAGCCCACATCGTTTGTTGGATGGTCAAGGTCAGAAAACCGGGATAGCTCCGCTTGTAATCGGACTCGGCGACATCGGATTGGCCTCTTGCGGAGGTCGATGGAGAACCTCATCGACTAGTCCGAACTAGATTATGGATGTGCTTTCCCAGTAACTAAGTACTTTCTTGCGCTTAGTCTATGATAGCGCTAATAACTAACCTGGTTCTAGTAACGAGCTAGAATCACCCTAGTGTCCAACACAGGAGAACGATACGAACAAAAGGAACTAACGGAGTCGTTCATATGGCGATATCCACCTCGTTCTAAGACATTTGCCTCTGTAGACAGAATATAAACACACTCCTCCATCTCCCTCTTTTACTTCCCATCTGCTCATTTTTCTAGGATATACTCCTCGGGGCCATCAGCTTCGGTCATGCAGACCAGCAATAATCCTCCCGGGAGGTTGAACTAGAATCATTGAACAAAGAAGCCACGGACGCCGGAAGTGTTACCCTCCAGGAAAAAAATCACCCAGTCAAAAAGCTCTTCAGAAGAAATGACACCTGCGCATGAAGCCGGTTCTTCGTGTGACAAAGGCTCAGCATGATAGATCCCGTGCCCTCTCATGGGGAGTATGGCTATCATCGTACACTGTTTCTTTCCTTTTTTTCGGCCCTGTTTTAGTGATGGGACTTCTGAATCAAGAGAGGGGTCAACAACACCAGCTAATCCGCTTCATCAAGACCTACTCTCTAACCTAATCTCAATCCTCAACCATGGGAAGAAGGGATATCCCGTCCCAGATCGGACATCACACCTTCGGGAAGGGGGAGGCGGTGTTGTTTCCTCTCGACATACCAATAAGCTCACCACCGGAGTAGGGATCGATCGACAAAATTCCAGGGTCCGATTACTAAGGCCATAAGATATAACTTAGGCCGCTTGCAGTGACAACCTACCATTCAAGTAACTACTTCATCTAGTCTAGACCACGCTCCATGGTCTTGCTATTTACGGGCGGCAGTGCAAGGATGCATGTTAGGCACATTCTGCCAGGTACTGTACCAAAGAACTTCTTGATAAACGTCTGAATGAAAACGAGCGCATGGAAAGTCCCCATGTGGTCCGGGTATTGTTTGGCGATCAAAGGCCATTGTTTGAGGTGGGATTAAAACTGAGGCAATGATGGGGGAGGCAACCAAGCACAACCCAAGGTAACTAAGCTAAGGGCTTGTTTCGGATCTTTTGCATATGGGGGGGGGTTCTTCTTTGCTAGGTTTGGGATTAATTGAAACAATGGTGGAAAACGGGGGCTTCAGTTAATAATCAATCCAGTCGACTTACATACGTATGATCGTGACGATTCCCATTGGAGATCCTATGAATGTGCGGAGGATTCCAGTGGTGTAAGGTCAGGGCACTTGGTATTTATCATTTCAAATCTGAACATTCCCCATCCAATTGACAGAAGTCTTGTTGTCCCTGTCAACCTTCAGACTATCAACACCCCCCAGGAACAGTCCCGTACGCAATCCATGACCTCATCATCATACAACCGATGAACAGAAGAAAAGAAGCAAACGAGCGAAGAGGGAAAAAAAGATCCAAAACAACTTGGAAACCATGGTCCAGGCCTTTGGCGACGCCGATCACGCCGATTGTTCAAAACATCGGCCGTGGGTCCCCAACCTTGGCGGAATCTAGTGTGTACTCTAGTTACCCAGTAGAACAAATCACATCCCACTATCTTTAGCTCATGTTTCTATCTATGGTACCGTCCAGTGGGTCAGGTACATATCGAATCTTCCAATAATAGCTGAGTGAGATTTTCCTGAAGTACCTGGACGTTGCCCTTGCTTGTGAAAAAGGGAAAGTATCGAGAGCTGAAGAATGTCCGGTTGCGGGCAGACATGATATGATGGTTGCAGCGCCGCATATCTTCCAGAAACCTGTCAATGAAATACTAGTAGTAGTAAGACAGGGACTGTGCATAAACAACGTCCCGTATAAGTCCTTTTTATGCAATTCACAAAATGACGGCCGAATCGGGAGTACTCCCGCGCTATCTGCGTTCGGCGAACTCCAACAATGCCGACCGCCACCGGGTTCAACATCCCCTTTCTATCTCACAATCCATCGCTTTCTCAGGCCAGAGAGGGAGATGTGCGTACAGCGTACGTAGTAGGCCACCTCTGCAGTGGGATATAAGTGACGAACTTTTGGTCGCGAAGACTGGGTAAGCATTGGTGCGGCCCCACATCAATCCGCACCCGACCGATCGAGTCCGTGACTCCCAAGACTGCCTAATTTTCTCCCAGGCAGACAAGACGATGGAGGTATGTACAAGGTACTCTATACTACTACTAGAGACAGGAGGGGTACTTCCGTTGAATTCAAAGAAGTGCCCGGCTCCCGGTTACATCCGTATGCAACAACCCCATGCACGTAAGACCCGACATATATGACGGTTACACAGTCAACGCCATGTCTTAGGCTTCTATCTGGTGGACTACGAGTTAGTATAGTGAGTACGAGTAGTGAGTAAGGAGCGGGCGAAATCGAGTCAAGCCACACACGGTCGTGCCGATGCAAAGATGCTCCAAAAGCGGCGGGAAAAATTGCCACTTTGAGGTTAGTCAACCTTTGAGTGGTACCTCCAAAAGAATGAATAGATAAGAGGAAGCGGTCCCGAAGAAGGACGAGATACACTCGACCAGCGCTGAAAGCGAGCATCACCACCTGATCAGAGGAGGAAGAGGAAAAGAGAAAAGGAGACTTGGAGACTTGGAACCTTCCCGAGTCATGACACTAGAGAGGAAAAAAGAGAAGCAAAAACGACCCCACTCCAAAGAGAAAAAAAGGTGCAAACCTCAGCTGCAACCGAATAGTACTATTTAATTTTAATATTTTCTGATGTCTCCATCATCCGCTTCTCGACCTGTCATACAAAATAATAAAAATAATAATCATAATAAGCAAAATAAAAAAGCAACACTCAAATCCAAAACCTCTCCTATCCAATCCTCTCAATCATTTCACGGTTCAAATTGCACAAATCCAAACGTGGCCCCCCCCAGGATGTCATAAAAATGAAATCATCCGTCCATCGTCCTGTTAAATTGTCTCTGGTCTTCCCCCGCAAGTCCCCCAAGCCGTGGCACACAATGATCGTCAATGGCGTTCAGCAAAGCTTAGTCGAATCGTGGAGTCTCGCTTCCGTGAATATCATAGTCGAGAAGGTAAGGTATCGGCGTAGCACCGCCACTCTTCACGACGCTACTTCTGCGGGCGAAATGAAGATTGACTCCACCGTCATTGGTAAGTCTTAGTAAAGTGGTACGTGTGAGCGCAACCCGGTTCCGTCAGGTGGGAGAATGGCATTGACTGATTGATTGATGGGAACGTCCATCATTCGTCCATCAATGACTATCAATTGTCTATCCGTATCTATATCAGATGATGAAATGTTTCTCTTTTCTTTTCTGGGTTGATCAGTGTCTTGGCGGTTGGCCGGATTCGTAGGACGGCCCATACTTCTCCGTTCCACTTTGATTTACGTGGATCAAGGAAACATTTCAACAGGAATGAGCAAATTAACCGCAAACAATGATATCCATGGAACGTTGGGTTAGCTTGATGGGAAATCAAGGTACGTACCTTTCGGCGAGCAGGGACCACCAACCGACTAGTAGTACACTGGCCGTCAACTGCTCCAGTCGCCCGCTGCCTTGTTTTGCTATCTGCCAATCCCACTCTCTCAACCAAGCTCAACTTCTGACACGCTTCCGGGGTCACCCGCAATTCTGGTTAGAGTTACTTACTCGCGTATATGATATTATTACAACGGCTGGCACCTCGGGGTAGCTCTCACATAAGCACAGCTACGTAAATTACAATCCCCACAATTGAGTTGACCCGGGAAACAGCATTTGAGATTTATAGATAATACAGTTGACACCCTAGCAGAGGCACTGGCACCACCCTAAATGTCATCTAAAGCTCCTACCTAGTGATTAAACATGACTGTGTATGCTTTTCCCCCATCCTTTCCCATCCTGCCGACCAGTGCCTCATGGAGAAGCAGCAAAAGACACTTGACGGAAACAAAATCACAACCGAACCATCGCGCCAAAAGATCAAACAAGTAAAGAAAAAGGAATCAAGTTAGAAAATGACAAAATATCGAATCGCACCAGGCACGGTGTATTGACAGCCAGGGCATTTATGCCATGTACGTGCTAGAGTCAACGCCACCCTCGGGGTATTCACTGTATATATGCCATTAGTTCCGGGTACAAAAGATGAGGGTAGAAAGGAAAGATAGATCACGTACGGAAGAGCAACTTCGAAACGCTTCTCGATATCCTTGAGGACCTTCTCATCCTCCTCGTTGCTGACGAACGAGATCGAGAGACCCTTGGTACCGAAACGGCCGGCACGACCAACGCGGTGCAGGTACGAGTCCGCGTCCGCAGGCAAGTCGTAGTTAATAGCAAGGTTGATACGCTCAATATCGATACCACGTCCAAAGACATCAGTAGCAACACAGATACGCTTGTTGAACTCCTTGAATTCCTTGTAGCGTTTGATACTAATATGCCGCGTCAGCAACAGGATTGCATTGTTTAAGCAATGCGATAAACTTACCGCTCCTCCTGGCTCACACCAGAGTGGACAGCGATACTAGGGAAGTTACACTCGCGCAAGAGCTTGTCCAGCTCATTTGCACGAAGTGTGCTCTTGACGAAGATAATGACCTGGTTGAACTCAAGGCTATCCAGGAGCTCGTTCAGCTTCCGGTTCTTTTCCGCTTCGCTGAGTTTGATGTAGTATTGTTGCAAACCGTGGAGGGTAAGTTTGGTGTCGTCGTCCACGTAAACTTCAAGAGGGTTCCTCATGAACTTCTTGCAGACAGGCCGGATCTCCTGGGAGAGAGTAGCGCTGAACATCATAACTTGCTTGTCGGCGGGAGTAGCACGGAAAATCTCCTGAACATCGCGGCGCATATCTGGCAAGATTGTGAGTCACCGACTCTAAAACAACACATTGATGCTTTCACTCACCGATCTGGTCGAGCATCTTGTCACACTCGTCAAGGACAAATGCCTTAACATTACGCAGGGAAAGCTTCTTCTCGCGAACAAGGGCGTTCAGTCGACCCGGAGTACCGACGACAATGTTGGGGTATGATTCTTTGTTGGATAGCACCTCGACATCCTTCTGGATGGGGGTACCTCCGTAGAAGACGGCAGTCTTCACGTCGGGAAGGTACTTGCTGAAACGAGCATATTCGTTCTTAATCTGGTAAGCCAACTCACGGGTGTGGCACATGACCAAGACAGAGCACTCTCCGGGGACAGGCTCCAGCTGGTGAAGGGTGGTCAAGACGAAGACGGCGGTTTTTCCGAGACCAGACTTCGCCTGGCAAAGAACATCGACATTGAGAATGGCGGTCGGAATGCAAACTTGCTGGACTATAGTGAGGCGGAACGGTATGTTAGACTTGTATTCGATCCATAAGACTTTGGAAAAAAGAAAGCAATCCGCGTCGCAAGTCCGTCCATCCCCCGAGTCGTCGAATAAGGCAGGCAAGTGATGTCAACTTTCGTTTCATAATCAACTACTAATGAAAGCACTAGTCGGGCATCTATTCAATTGCAGGATAATATCTCTATCGAGAGTGCCCTGCAGACGGCACGAGAACGCCTGCCATCCAAAGATATAGTGGCAAGAGGCCCATAGCTTTCGGATAGCATCTTTCGCAAATCACCCATTCTTGCTGAAAATGCATTTACCTGGATGATTCGCGAATCCAGTCTCACCGTAATTCGCTGATGTATAAGCAGCGGGTAGTAACTGTAAAAGCACTACTGCCACCGCAGTGTCTTGTGTGTAGTAACCCAAGCAAACATCCTCGTGCCGCCCACAGGCTCGGACGAGATAGGTGGCCAATAAAAAGCGACTATAAACTCCCGCGGAGATGGACGGACGTTGGAACATAGAGCAATGGAGGGAGCTTGTGGGAAAGAATGTTATCAACTAACCCTCCGATGGATGTTCGAAACCGCAATCGGTGATGGCACGTAGAAGTTCTCCCTTCAGCAAAAAGTCGCGGAAACCGGTCGAGTGAATACCGACATAGCTTCCCTTCTTGTCCGGACGGCCACCAGAAACCGTTAGGTCGCCCGTTTTGGCGTTGTCGCCATTTGCGGCGGGAGCAGCAGTGGTAGCTGCGGCATCAGTGGTCTGAAGCTCCTCGTCGGAGTAGTCAATGAGATCCTCCTCGTGAGACATTTTGTTGAATATTAACGGAACGGAAAGTATTGAGAAAAAAAAAATCTAGTTGTCGCGAGGTCGCGTTCTTCCCCAAGGCAGCCGAGCTGGGGGATTTACGGTATGGGTGAGTGGAGGTGGTGAAAGATAAAACAAATACAGTGAGTCAATCGTAAACACAACGTAATGCCCCTTTCCGATCCTTCTGGGATGAATTGAAAAGCGGGTCTTGGTTGAAACGTAAGGGAAAACGATGGAGATGAAGAGAAGGTTGAGGTCGCGAGGGATGAGGCTGAGGACAGAAAGACCGCATCACGTGATAAATGTCATTAGTCACTCTGGCCTGCCAAGTTGCTGGTTCTAGTTTAGCGTCCGGTTGCCACTGAAAGCTTCATTATTCTTTATCTTTCTTTATGTGTTGTTAATTTAGACCAGTCTAAAGGGTTTCTCTTCTGGAATGGCGAAGGCAAAGGGCAAAAAGGGCTCGTCTGGGGGAGCGCAGGGTCATATCCGTGCACGATTAGATTATCTCCATAAGGCCGCTACCTATCTACAGTCTGCTGGTGTTGCCTCCAAGCAATCTAGTAGCCAGCTCGTTCAGAATGCTACCAGTCAAGACGGCGAGCCAGGGTCAGCTTCAGCACGTATTGTACCACTTTTCTTGAGCCATGATACTACTTCTGGGCAAAAGTCAACTGGCACGCACACCAGCGCAAATACAGATCGTCTTCCGCAGCTCTCTCGCGTATTTATATCACAAATGCGTGGGGTGTCTCTAAAAACACAGATGCGACTGCCAGTCGAGACGAAAAGGTCATACTGCAAACGCTGCGATACGCTACTGTCGCCAGGTGTCAGCTGCATACAAGAGATCAGAAACGAGAGTCGTGATCGCAAAAAGCCATGGGCCGACGTCCGGGTCATCTACTGCACTACCTGTGGGACGGAGAAGCATTTTCCTCTAACGGAAAGGCGACCCAGAAAGCTTTCTGAGCGTCGAAAGCAAAGAGAACAGGAAAAGGAACAAGTGTCAGCTTCATGACCTTTTTTTGCTGTTCCTATACTGTTTTTGTCAATTCGCAACAACGTGGACTCTGTGGGACAGTAGCAATTGGTTATTGAGACGGTGCACTACCACATTAAAGCGCACCAAGAAGGAACACCATATGGGGGCTATGGTACATACAATAAACCCCATCAATATCCGGCAAACCATTATTTTTCGGCTAGCGCCTTGAAAGGAAACAAGGCCGAGTCTCATGCAACCGTTCCACTGATGAAGCAAGGCTATCTGTCCAGATTCGGAAGCAATTATCTATTCATTTGGATCAGTTGCCACGGCAGGGCGCTAGGTATAGGAGTCGTCCAATAGAGCTAAAGGCGGGATGTGAGATGCCGCGGGCTATACTAACTAGAGGGTTGGTTGTGGTTGTCGATCGGAAAGGCTACGAAGAACCCTGCAGGTAATTTGCGGTTGTCGACGGAAAAGCCATGACCCCTTAGCAGGGCTCCGAGACTTCACGTGCAGCTCTGGTCAGTCCACATGCTATCCAGGGCGAAAACAGGATTCGTCAATATCGAGCAATCAGAGATGATTGCAGGTATTCTACAGTTGAAGTCCTGAGACAAATGCACATGTTCGAATAGAAAAATATCATGACGCAACTAGCCTCATTCATTACATTTGTACATAAGCCATCTGTGCGACAGGGCACGATCAGCCGTGGGTTTATCCAACATGGTCATAGATCAAACGTCCACTCATAAAGACACATAAAGAGAACAATACATATTGGGGAATCGAGACGCCAGATAATAGACGACAAATCCAACTTCAAAAGGTGAAAGGCGTGGTTCTCGTGACATGTAAACAGCCCATCGAAAATATTTAAATATAGAACAAAGAAAATGGTACCAACGAGGGAACTCCTTTGCTAAAACATCAATGTTGTTTCCTGTGGAATCTCGGTTCATGATACCTCCAAAAGGTCCAAAGGTTGCCGCGAGGCAGATATCCCATCTTTAAGTAACTATCCTGTCCCAAACAAAAAGGGAAAAAATAAAGGAACGAAACGAGAAGAGTAAGAAAGAAAAGAGCAGAACATAGGAGACAAAGAAAAATTCACGTCTGCAGGTTGAATGTCGCTGTAACTGGTGAAGGGGGCAAAGAACGCTGCAATAACGGCACAGATCATAATTGCACAGGGTCCGCGAGGACAGAGTGGTATATAAACACGGAGCTTTCCTCTCCTTTTTTTATTTTTTGCCGAGAAAACAAATACTTCCTTCATTCTCTCTTGTGACTTAAGTTTGGTCATGCTTGCATTTATCATCTCGAGCGTTCGGTCATCATCATCCTAAAGCATGAAAAGCGGACAAAGAGGTCGTCTGGTAGTCGAGTCAACGTCGCCAGATTCCAGTACATGAGCCTCCAGGGCAAAAGGTCGTATAAGGCAATATGTGAATGGGGTAGGTTTCGGGGTATAGAGCGGTGAACGTCATCCAAGCATATACGGTCGGGTTCATAATCGAAAAAGTATTGTCCTCGGTGGAGATCATCGTCTCCTACGGGCGGCCTGGTCGAGACGTTGGTCAAGCCCTTCAATTCGGCCGCGGTAGGCTTTCACAATTTCCCTGATATGTCCAATCTTCGCCATTTCGGTTTCCAGCTCATCAATTGAGGCTAGAATCGAACGCGTACGAGCAATCTCGGCATCGGCATTGTGAATAACGTTTCCTGCACGATCGTAGGTATTTTGAATAGAGAGCTGCATTTGTTCCTCCAGCTACAGGGCGTTAGGACAGGTGATAAGATGATATGCAAGGATGACCGGCTTGTGGAACATCGTCTGCACATTCCCAACCGGGGCCCGAGATCATGGCGTATGACACCATGCGCAAAATCCTTATGAAGGACTCTAGGGAGACGTAGAAGGGAGGATGATTTATGGAGTGGGAATAATAGGAGTTCAAAGGAAAATATCAACATACATAGTCGATGCGACTCCGAATCTGCCCCTGTAGCGCATCCAGCTGATGGGATAGCGCTCGCAGACTCATCGGGTCCAGTAACAATCGGCCATGACTGCTGGCAGCACTGGCAGCACGCGAACTTGAATTGCTGCTTCGACCAGTTCCTCTGCCCCTGGAAACCCCGTTGGCGGCATGGCCACCCTGAAGCGCAATCTGTTGCTGTTGTCGGAGGATCTGGATCTCGGAGGAGGTAAGGCCAAGGGAGGTGTCGGGGATCGAGGCTGATACGGACATTTGGTCCCGGCAGAGACATGCTCTTACCGCGACAAGAGTCTAGGAAGCGCCGGTCGTTCTCGGTGTTTGGAGATGGGACGAACCGAATTTCATGGTGGTTGGCCGGAGCGAATGTTAGGAGGAATTAGGACGGAGAGTGGGAAGGAGAGTAAAGGACTGAATCGGCTTCGCTCGATGATTCGTTCTTCTCTCCTGCTCTCTCTCGCACTCACTCACTCACCCCTCTGGAAGTAACTCAAGAAAAATCGCCTCCTCACCGACAGACCTATGGTGTCATTGGGGGAAATTAGAGGGGATGAGGCCGAAGAGGAGGGGGGAACGAGAGAAGGATGATGGTGGGAGAGGAAGGCCGATTGAGGAAACAGATTATCGGCGGCAAGGAAAAAAGGAAAACAACCGCAGCGGCTCTCCTCGTGAATCGGTCGCAAGGTTACACACTGACGGACACCCGGAGAAGATAGGAATTGGTCTAACTTGGAGAAACTAACACGAGCACTGTGAAGCTAAAAGAGTGTGATTAGAACTGCCTCGGAGAGTTGAAGGGACGGAAGTGGAGGGGGAGGATTGTACACTGGTATGTAAGAGCAAGTATATATTGTATGAAGCGTGGTATGAATGGTACCTAAGGCAGAGCTTGGAGGTACACAACCAATGGCCAAAACCCCCTTCGGAAGATATTTAGGGAAATAAAATATGGCGGAAAATGATGTCTAGAATAATTTAAAGTTGGGTATGACCTATTTCTAGGGTCTTTTTGCCTTTTCTTTGGTGCTTGGTATGAATTATTTTGGTGATATAGACCGGAGTATGGTGTACATTATATAGAACGGAACTTGAAGACTTAAATCACAGTGATTAACAATTGTCGCACAAGGACTGAAACTAGGATCTTGGATTTTGGAATATATTAATTCAATTCTCTCACCTGCGAGAGAAAAAAGGAAGTAAGAAAGAAAGAAAGAGAGGGGGAAAAAAGCATACCAAGTTTAGGTGACTTGAGGAATCTCCCCTACAGAAGAAATCCACTGCTAAACGGTGGTTCCGCCTTCCGACGTCCTCCAACCATTCATTCAGTTCCCTCTCCTCCGCAAACCAACAGCAGCTCCCACCTCCAAACAATCCTCCTATACGAATCACATCTCCAAGACTTAGAGGTTTCCCTCCCCTTTTTACCGCGATCTCACTCCCGAACGTTCCCAACAAACCAGGCAACCCACGGTGCCAATAGCGCAATCAACCAACCACCTCTGCAAACGCCAGTCGATCAATCACCGTCGCCTCTGATCCCCAGAACTGAAACCAATTCTGTACCTAAAACCCGCTGCCCAACCCGTGAGGCTAGAGCCCCGCGACTGCTGTCTTTGATCTGTGATTGGATTGGCAGCTCCGCGTCCGGCTCAGTTCTAGTCCTGCGACTTTCGTCTTTCACCCATCTTGCTGGATACCTCATCGGCTGGCGAGCCTTTCTTCCACTCTCCTCTCCCTCGTCTGCTCCACCGTGGTTCGCTACCGCTGTTTTTGTCGTTCCCCGGAGCTGTGCCACCTCGAGTCCTCGTCTTTGCCAAGAAAACGAGAAACTATGAGAGCTTACATTACATGTCTGACAAAAGTGGAGCTTCAATAGTTCGATAAAATTAATGTCCCATTCGTGCGCCTAGTCCACCGCGACCTATTACTTCTTCTCATCACATTTAAAAAGAGGATTCTAATAAAATAATAAAGAGAAAAAAAGGCTTCACGAAAATGCCCAAGGAACGCAACTTCAACCCCGTCCAAGCGCAGCGGAAAGCAGACAAACAGAAAAGCTTGAAAAAGGCCAAATCTGAGGCGCAGGCTCGCCAGAATGAGAAACTCGCCCGTCGCAACCCCGAGCGCCTTCAGAGGCAGATCAATGACCTCAAAGCGGTAGAAGAGTCCGGCCAACAACTACGGCCGCGTGATAAGGAGGTTTTGGAAGCGTTGGAGCGGGATCTGCGTGCTGTACAGAAGGCCCGGGAAGCACTAGGTGATAAGGCGCCGAAATTCGAGAATTACCAGTCAAGAAGGGGTGGCTTTGGCGGCAGAGGCCGCGGCGACGCCGTATTAGGGAAGAGGAGGAGGGACGACCGTGGCCACTCCGGACGAGATAGTGAGAGTAGTGAGACGGATGAGGAAGTCCGACGAATTCCTATGCCGCGGGATACGCCGCCACCAATCCCTCGCCAATACCAAAAGAAGAGAGAGGGTGATGCAGATGCAGGTCCTCGGGGACCACATGGTTTACCGGCGAAACCGCCTGTGGTTGAATCCAGAACTGTCTATGAAGCGAAGCCAGAGATCAAGAATCTGCGACAAGAGGCGGTTAAGAAATTTATTCCGGCTGCTGTTAGGGTTAAACAGGAGGCCATTCGAGGGCAAGGAAAGCTACTTGAGCCGGAGGAAATGGATCGGCTAGAGAAAGCGGGTTATAATGCTGGTCCTTCGGAAGCTGCAGGACAAGAGAGCTCTGATCAGCCTGATGATGACGCTCAACAGCGGCTATTAGAAGAGGAGAAACGATTCAACCAGGAACTCAGATCTGTACAGATCGAGGACGTTGAAGATGAGGATGCATGAAATGTATAACAGTGCATAATAATGATATCCAGTACTTCACGATGTACAACTAGTAGGCTCCATCGCGGACATAGTACATTTGGAAAAAAGAATCTGAGATAGGTATTCCGCTCTGTGACAGAGCTTCTCAAAGAGATAACAGAAAACTGTATGTACATACAAGACCCTTTCCATGAATACGCCTTTAAACCCAGTAAGCCTTAAGGCAATGTACCACCCCTCAAACGCCTAGGAAGCAGAGACAAAAGGAAAACGATGTACAGTCCCAAAAGAGTGGCAGAAGTTGGCATGTCTCTGAGGACTGTGAAGCGGTCTAAGAACAAGAATTCAAGTCTTCGAGATGAGTGCAAGAGATCTCCAGACCCAAGGGCACCAAATCAATGCGGAAACCAAAAGCCGGCTGGCGAATGCAAATATCTGTACAGTCTCCCCAGTAATGGGGGAAAAAACACCAAAGAAACAAGGACATCACGGCATAACAACAAAGGAAAGAGTGGATCGGTCGGAGAGCAGTGTTCAACAATGATGCACCAGGAAAAATGCACGAAGGCCTCGATTTTCTGCACGGTCAACTTCGTGCCTCAGAATGCACATGATCCAACCATAACTCCAGAGTATTGCAAGTATTAAACTGTCTAAGAAACGAGGGGTGTCTTATGTAGATGCCGTTGCTTTCACGGATCAACCAGCGAAAACCAAAATCGACCAATTTTGTAGAAGTGAAATGTTGCCTTTGGGGGCACAATAAGCCAAACAAGTAGTGGAGGGCATTACCGCAAGTTACGAATAACCTTTCGACCGCGCGCAAGGAAGGGGCTCGGCATCTCATCCTTTTCAGGGTCCCACACTGCTGGTGGATCGCGATCTGAAGATTTGAGGCCGGAGGAACAATTTGAAGTGCGGGAGTCACTGGCACATCGCTTGAGATCTTCAACAGGACGGCCACCAGCCCGGGCTTGGGCAAGTTCGACCAGTGTTCTGCCACCCATATTGCGCTGCATCACGGCTTTGAACATCTCCTCTCCACCGCCGTTAACCTTCGTAGGGTGCTGTTTTAAGCCAGACTTGCGGGTTGGCGATCCAGCGTCAGCAGCCAAGTTCGCCGACGATGGGATCTTCGACAGACGTCGGTGGGGAGATCTGGCTTTGGGCTCTCCGTGACGGGTCTCGGTTTGACCGGATCCTGATGCTTGCGGCAATCTTGAAGGGTTGCTGGGGAAAAGTGGCGGTTGCGTGCTCAGTTTCTGCATTAGCGCGGCTGTGTTCTGACGAAGGAGGGGGCGAGACGGGGCCTTGAAAGGATCGGGTTTGACTTTAGGCCTGGTAGGTGAAGGAAGATCAGGGGTGTCATCTTCATCATCGGAGTACGCTAGAGTAGGTTCCCATTTGGCCCGCTGTCTCTCTGCTTCTGCGAAGATGTTCTTACCAGAAGAGGTGGCAGAGGTACGACGGGGGGACAAGGAGAGTGACGCGATTGAAATTGGGGATGGCTCAGCCATCTGCACATCGACGGGCGACTCGACGACTGTTTTTGAGCGATTGAAAGGAGTGCGAGTCTCTCTTCTTAACGGCTTGTTCGCTGGTGATTCCATTGACAACTGACTGATATCAGTGGTGGAAGGAAAGTCTGTGTCGTCTCCATTACTAGTAGATGACCGGGAGCCATAACCGCTTGAGCGTAGGCCAGCATCATCTCTGATGTTGTGAGTTTTCTTCTGTTTCTCTAGTTCAATCGAGACCCTATCTTGAACCTCGGTCTCAAACCTCTTGCGAAGTTTGTCAAGTTCATTCTGCACCTGACGGTCGATTTCTAGTCTAGCTTTTACTTCCCATTCCCGGCGCAGGGAGCTTTCAATGTCGGATTTCATCTGTTGCCTCTCCTTTTCAAGTTTTGCAAATGTCTGCTCAACTTCCTTGGCCTTCTGCAAGGCTGCTTCTTCGCGCTTTCGAAGTTTGCTACTAAGGTCAATAACTTCTTTCTCCTTTCTCATCAAGCGGATGATAGGAAGGTTGATCAGGGTGGTAGTGTCAGGGCGGTGGTCTGGGTTCACTCGTAAACAGCTGGCAATGACATTCTTCAGCTCGGGGGAGTAGAATTCAGGCAGAGGAGCGAATTTGCCTTCGCGGATTCGTTGGACAAGTTGAATGTGTGTTCTTGCATTGAAAGGTGGCTCTCTCTGGCAGAGTTCGTACATGATGCAGCCGACAGCCCAAATATCGGAGCGCAAGGTATATTTTTCCGCAGCACATATCTCGGGGGACATGTAGAATGGAGTACCGACATATGTCGATGCGAAATCATGAGAATTCATAAGCTTAGAAAGGCCGAAATCTCCTAGCTTAACCGTGTTGTCATGGCCCAGGAAAATATTTTCAGGCTTCAAATCGCGGTGCAGAATTGTCATCTGCGCCTGCTTTCCCTTAAGGCCTGAGGGCTTAGGTGCAGGCCCTAGAATATTTGAGCCTACATCCGCTGGGTCTGCACCATAATGGCAACGGTAAAGCGCAGTGACCAATTGTGATAGTATACGCCAGACAAATTCTTCTTCTGCGTACTTGTTCGTCTTCTTCAGGTTCTTGATGACCATACTGAGATCACCACCGCCACAGTATTCCATGTAGAGATACAGGTCTTGACTCGCCTTTAGGTGTTCACGGTGGTAGTAAGCGACAATGTTCGGGTGTCGAAGAGAGCTCAAAATGTTGAATTCGGCCGTAAGCTGCTCACGCTCTTTTTGGGACATCTTGATGTAATTTATCTCCTTGCGACACAAAATCTGCATTTAGCGTTTGTAAGTAGTCGTACAAGGTAGAAGAGGGGTTCGGCAAGCCTACAAAGCCATCTGCTTTCCTCCTGACTTTGCGAATGATGCCGAAGGAACCACAACCTGAAGACAGTCAGATATTTCGCGGGGCCAAGCATCAGACATAGAGAGATGTATATATATATATGCCTTACCAATCTTCTCCAGCACCTCATACTTGTCTGCTTCCGCCAATGCGATTGCCATCGTGGCTACTGAGTAGATTATGCCACAGGCAAGCACTTAAGGGTAAAGGGAAAGGTCGAATAGGAGAATTGAAAGAGAATGAATGAGTGATCAGCTCATTCATGAGTTAATCCTATTGCGTAAAACCTGTTTGGTTAGTAGACAACGAGGTCGGCTTTGGACATGGAGTAAAATTGGTAGATTTAAAGAAGTAAGTATTCATGCAACGGGACGGAGGCCGTGAATGTTTAGTTGAAGCACTGTTGCTGAGCAACGGCGTGCGAAAGCGATCCTTGCTTCATGTAGCAGGCGGTGAAGCTAGGGCGGTGAGGAGTCGTGTCATCATCACCACCGTCATCGTTGCTTGAATGAGTAAACAATTCCATCCTGCTGTAAGAACTGTCACTTGGATGCAATCACAGGCACACATCTGTGCGTGGTGGATCCAGTATGCCATGTATGAATCTATTGTCCTTTCACACTGATTCCTGGCGTTGTATTCTGCAAGGACTAGGAGCCGATATGCCCCCCTTTGAAGGGCCTCTCCTTTTCCTATGTGGCGATTAGATGAACCACGTGATTCTCTCTTATCGATAAGATGATGGCATCGCCAACCGATAGTGTCCCGCTCTCGGCAACATTAGTATCCAACATCTCCGGACACCATCGGCCCAAGACTCACTCGCAATGTCTGAACCGACTGTGCTTCGCAAGGACCAATTAGAGATCAGTTTACACAATGAAAAGAAACTGATTCAGGAGGGAACCATCAAGGATGATAACCCTCTCGATCTTAGTGAGCCGTTTCGGGAGCTCTGCGCTGCTTGTCGTAAGGGGGATCTCAAAGTTTGTCAAGAGAAGATCACAGAAGGAGTCAATGTCAATGCTCGCGACCCCTATGATTACACCCCCTTGATCTTGGTAAGTGATCTTGGCTTCCATAGGGCCACCCTGGCAACCCTGTCGAATTACGCATGTTCTTGGTGATAGAGAGACGATAGTTCACTGCTAAGCACCATGCAGGCAAGTCTTTGTGGCCATTACGAGGTCGCCCAATTGCTTCTCGAGTCTGGCGCATTATGCGAGCGAGATACATTCCAGGGAGAAAGGTATGCCGGTCTAACTACCACCCAACCTTCAAGTACCGCTGACATCCGCGCTCGTGTAGATGTCTATATAATGCTCTGAACGACCGCATTCGAAATTTGTTGCTTGAATATGACTATTCTAAATCGACTGATCCTCTTCAGCCTCTCGCGGCCCATATATCCTCCCTCCTCACCCGCGACCAGCCTGGGACGTCTGATATCGTTGTGAGCGCCGGGGATGAGTCTCTGTACTTACATAAATTCATACTCTCTGCGCGATCACCTTACTTCCGGAGGAAGCTGGCAGCTTCCCCTGAAACCGCGACATGGAAGCTTCCCAGCACTATACCGCCACAGGCCTTTGGAGCAGCGATCAAATATTTATATTTCGGGGAAGCACCCCGTGAACTAAGAAGTGGCCCCGGCACGGGTTTTACTGAATCGGAAGTCTTTACTGGCATCGATAGGATTGCTAAACACTTGGATATTGACACTCTTGTGGACAGCATTCTTGACAGTGGTGATAGGAGATTAGCTAGACAGAGGAGGACTACGGAGCTTGCAAAGGGAAGAGACCAATTAGAGGAATGGTTCCGCAGCAATGTTTTACAAAATAAGTTGGTAGTCGAAACGACCAAGGCAGGGGACATCAAATGGGATCGCAACAATGCCATCTTTGCAGATGTCTTGCTCCAAGCTGATGAACTGCCGGAGGATACGGATGAACATAGCAACGGTACCCTGCAGCCAGGAGACGGTGCCAATACTTGCCCCAAAGAGCAAATCCAGAGGTCGGTCGTCTTTCCCTGCCATCGGGCAATGCTTTTGAGGTCTGAATTCTTCCATACCATGTTTTCGTCATCATTCCGCGAAGCGCATCTAAAAGATCATCTACACATCATCAATGTCGACTGCTCCCCGGATGTTCTGGAGATTAT